ATCAGTCAGTTGGCAGCAGCAGCGCTCATTACTTAGCTGGGAATATTTTATGCGCCACCAATCTGCTGCTCATTTGGGAAGCAGCACCGATTTCGCACATGCCTTTATCTCACGACGACTCCTCCTCCGGTCTCCGACGAATTGCTCTACACATCAGCGTGTTCTTGTCATCGCCGAACAAAAAGAAGAAAAACGGCAACGGCCAAGAGAATTTCCCACAAGGCACATGCAACAACCAACGAAACATACAGCGACAGGAAAAGCGAAAATCGAAAAAGTGAAGGGGACACCGAAGATGAGACCGAAATCCACAAACCAAACGGAACTCCACATCAGCATGTAAGCAAATTTGCAACCTGTCCGTGGTTTAATCTGTGGCTGTCCTCCTCCCTCAGTTAAATGCATTAAGTCCGCAACTTGTGAGCGGATATACAAATATGCTCAGCACTTTACAATATTTCTGAATAAAGCTAATCGATCCAGACAGGGTCCACATGTTAGTGTTCCAAAACAATATCCAGCCCAATAGCAAGTGGAAAACTGCATAAAACCGAGAAGTTCGTTGAATGCTCGCAGTGCAGAGTGTCCTGAATGGACTGCTAAGCCTGTCCACATGCGGATAAGGCCGTCGAGCCTCCTTCCCTGTCCCGGTTTTCCATTTTCCGAACCCAACACAGCTCGAATTGCGTTTTATTGAGTACAGGTCAACTTGCTTTTGGGCCTAGTCCAGTTCACTTTACTTTACTTCATTCTCATACACTCAAAAAAATGCCTAAATACTCGCACCTTAGAAACTTTTTTAATAACGATAACTTGAACTCAAAATTGGAAAACCTTAAAGGGAAACCATGTTCCATATTTTGAATTGTGCACGCTATTCACAAAAAAATTTGAAGTACACTATTTTAGGAATGCACATACATTTGGAATATTGTGTAGTTTTAATTTTAAAGTGTTACCTACTGGAGTTAATTATCCTTTCCCGATATTTATTGCTGCTGAACTTTTTTTAAGTGCAGTTTTCGAAAAGGGAGAATCTGCCTGAACTCTAAATGAACGAAGGTGGATTGTTTGAAATTGCAACGGAGACTTATCTACAGGTTGGCCAGTTGTCCACTGTGCGGCAGAGCAGCGGTCTTTTATTGCCGCGGAAAATGGAAAATCGGGGGACGAGTGGGAGGAAAACCGCAGAGCACCCGCCCCTCTTTTCTAACTCGGAATTTCTTTGAGGGCAGATCATGTTTACTTAGGCACGAAAATATTTCATAATTTCCAATCAATTTCACCCGTTTTAATTACGCGTAAAATATTTAAAATTCTCGCAGCTCAAAGAGCTTGCCGCGCAATCAAAGCGAAGCGTTTTCATTGCCTTCATTTTGTTTGTTATGAATTTCGTAATTTCTTGGATGTTGTGTTTTTGAACGATGAATTTTTACTTGTGTGTCTGTTGGAATTATTGTGTGCCACATTAATCATGCAAATGAATCGAAACATGAAGGGCGCCAAGGTGTGTGGGAGGGGGCGTGGCGAACACGCCCATCAACGCCAATTAACAGAAATTCCCCAAGATGCATGCGAGTGTGAATATACTTTATTAGTATCTTTTTCGTGTCGAGCGGCAAACTTGATCAGCATCAAAGGCGATTCGGCCTCCAGTATTTTTAGCTGGCCAAGTGCCTAATGTGGGCTATAAATAAAGTTCTTGGGGTGGGTTCGATGTCGGGGATGCGTGTATCTTGCAGATATGCCGGAACTCTTGCATATTTAATGAGCATGACACGGCGCAAAGTTGAGGAAAACAAAGGCCTCCGCTGACGAAGCTCGAATACCCTTTTTCTGATTCAGAAACTAAAGGTAATTTTTTGAGCAAACGGGAAACGCTTTAAAAATTGCACTCGTTTTCGTAGAAAAATAAACTTGCCGAACTTTGGCGCTGTAGCTTCTTCCATTCCACTATGTTGAATTTGACCCGTTTTTGTGGCCAAAACTCATTTTTCGCGAGTATGCAAATTTCCGTTTTTTTAATTTTACTATGTTGAGAAATGATCAAATTGCTTTATTGTATACCTCAAATGTTAATTTAACAGTTTAGTGTTAAAATAACAGCTGTTAAAGTCAGCTGTTGCAAGCGCTCAGCACGTGCTTTTTTAAATGTTAAATTTGTGGTGCAATTTCAAATTGGCATATCTCTCACAAAAAGTCATTAAATAATAAAATTCAAAATGAATATTATTTCTTCAGGTTAGTACTATGTGTTGATACCATTATGTTGCGTGTTTTGTTCGTATTTTTCTAACAATTTGTATATTTAGCAAGTGTTGTCTCCTTGTCACTTTTGGAAAAAAAGTTGAACTTTCCAAAAGGTTTTAAAAAAAAGGTTCAAATTGTATCAGTGAGTGTCCATATACATGTTGTAGATCTTTCAATTCTGAATTCAAAAAATATAAGCTCATTATGCGTTTTTTGCGGTTTTCTGCGTAATTTGAATTATTAGGGAGCATATATTAGGAAGAATACATAGAATAATACAAAAAAAAAAAAATTTTTTTGTCTTGAATACTTTCCATATTTATTATCCGATTTGGACCAAATTTGCAGGACGCATTTGAAATAGGACATTTATAATGTGTTTCAAAATTGGGGTCTCTAACTTGAAAATTGCTTAAGATATTCGTTTTTTTTCCATTTCTGTGGGCGGAGGAAGGGGCGTTGACACGCCCACTTTTCTAAAATACGTTCCTATAGTAATAACATTCATTATACAAGCAACCTGCATTCAAAAATCTTGTTAATTTCAAAAATTTTAATTTTGGCCACAAAAACGGGTCAAATTCAACATAGTGCATTCCCAAATGCAAGCACACACATGCTAATGACAAGTTTGCCAAAAGGACATGTCCATGTGAACACAAGCCTGCTTATACGAATGTATTTGTATGAATTTGTATGTATTCAGTTATATGTACAAGAAACCCGTTCAGTCAAGGTCGCCTCGCTTCCTTTGCGGGCGACTGCATAACGAGTTCAAAAAACTTTTCCCCCATCCCCCCAACTGAACTCAAGCCAGAACAAACTATCCTAAGCTGCTCATTCACACTCACGCGAACACAAACACAATTCCTTGGCTGCTTTTGGGCGCTGGTTCCTTAATCAGGAGCTTTGGTAATAAGCTTATCGCCCGGCGGCCAGGACAGGCCAGAAACGAACTGGGCCAAGTGCCCTCCCCTCGCCTCGAGTCCCAAGTTCTCGCGACCACCAAAAGATATTCAATTATATCGCGTAGGCTCCAGAAGAAAATCTCTATACCGATGGGAACATAATTCTTTCCAAACGCCAAATCAAAGAAGGTGGAGTCTCCTTTGTTAACCCGAATCAACATATATTTAATTTAATGTTTTTAAGTAACATTTAAGTAATTCAGGGTAGGAAAGGCAATAAATGCTTAGTAATAACGGGAATCTTTTTGGGTTCGAAATCCTTTTTAAATCATATTAATTTTGTTGTTCACAATTCAGTTTCACTTGAAGCGTCTTAAAGCTACAAATAGAAAGCTAGTGTTAGAATTTGTTCATCCCTTTGGTTCTTTAATTTAAATATTTACTAGCTGCTCTTGCGAGTTTGTTTCGTTTTTTATTCAGGCGGCTCTGTTGATAAGCTCGATGGGCACTCTCCATGCCAAATCGTTTTCAAATGCTGCCGTGCAACCAACTAAAAATCGCTTAAAACTTTTTACCCGCCTATTTGTAGCAGCTGAAAAAACCGAAAATACATTCCCGCTCCCCGGCTAAAAGCTTTACATTTGCAGACAGAAATCAAGGTAGGATTCTGGGCATTAGCAATCCGGCAGCCAGTTCCTTTCAGCCGCCCGTGGAGCGAAAAAGGCAAAACAATTTTTGCTGAATGAAAATGTTTGCTTCAAAGTTGTTCCTTCCTTTCCCGCTTTCCTGGCTCCGCTCTGCTGGAGAGTTCAGTTTATGAGCGGGTTATTTTGATTAATGTTCTTTCAGCTGCTATCAGGCATGGAAAAAACCCCGAGAGCAAAACTCAGTAAAGTTGGCAAGAGCTTAGCGGATATGGAAGTGTCAAGTGAAAGCGCAGAGCAACAATTATTCGATGATTATGGAACTGGGGTTGGGGAGTTTATTGATTGTGGGAACAGGCGAAAGGACTCGCCGTTCATTGTCCTCGTTATCCCTGAACATCTTGGAGCCATCTCTCTGAGAAAAGAATTCACTTAGGGCCATCTGCTACGACCCGTCTTGACTTGACATTTTTAATTACTTTTAAATATTTGATCCCGAGCCGAGATAATACGACAAGATTTGTCATATAAATTGTTAATGACCTTCTGACCGTGTTTCCTGGGCATGTCGAGCGAGGCAACTTGACCTTTTTCCCCGTGCTGCCACCAAGTTTTTGTCATTCGAGCGGCCTTTGTGCATGTTTATTGACAAGTTGTAAATAATTTGGATTTGACATGATCCTGATGGGCTCCACATTGCAATTCGCCTGAGTCTGATGGCAAAACTTTTAACCGGCTAACGACATCTCTTGTCAGAATTCAATAAAAGTCGAAAAAGGAAAACCTTTGCTGTTACTATGGCTGGTTATTATAACGTGATTTTAAATTTGACTTACCAATCCAGTTTGGTGGCAGCACTTTATGTTTTTAGAGTTTATTAAATGATATTAATACGCTTTTAAATTACAAACTCTAAGTAGTCATCGAGCACTGAAAGTATTTCTTACCGAAGACAAACTAAAGTTTTTTAAAAAATGACCGCCATTCCGTACATAACATTGAGATATAAACATCTAGTCTCAGATAAGCTTTAATGGTTTTCAATAGTGTAGCAGATTAACTGACCGAAAAAATACCCCTCCAAAGGAGTAACCACATTTTTATGCACATTAAAATACACTTGATTGCAAGACATTCCTCCTGCAAGCAAAGTGTTGCAGCTACAATAATCCTGTTTCCCCTCCGCTTTTCTTCCCAGAAAGAAGCCAAGGGACCTCGCTTACCGTCCGAATCCACTCCTCTCCTCAACCGCGTCGCATGTGAGCGCAATCTCAGCCCAGCGGGAGAGACGGAGAGGCAGGCGATGCCAAGATGCCATCGGCAGACCAGATCCTGTTTGTAAATGTCACCACAACGGTGGCGGCGGCGGCTCTAACCGCTGCGGCCGCCGTCAGCACCGCGCAGTCCGGGGGCGGCCAGGATGCCGCTCGGCCGTACACGGACTCGGACGCGAATAGGGGCGTGGCAGCGGAGGCGGCGGCGGCGGCGATGGGCAACGTGTCCGGCTCGCTGCTGGAGGGCCTGACCACCGTGGCGGCGGCTTTGAGCACAGCTCCGGCGGAGGCGGACGCGGACGCGGCGGGGGAGTGCGGCGGAGGAGCCGTGGAGGAGCTGCACGCCAGCGTTTTGGGGCTCCAGCTGGCGGTGCCCGAGTGGGAGGCCCTGCTCACGGCCCTCGTGCTGTCGGTCATCATCGTGCTGACCATCATCGGGAACATCCTGGTGATCCTGAGTGTGTTCACCTACAAGCCACTGCGCATCGTGCAGAACTTCTTCATCGTGTCGCTGGCGGTGGCCGATCTCACGGTGGCGCTCCTGGTGCTGCCCTTCAACGTGGCCTACTCGATCCTGGGCCGCTGGGAGTTCGGCATCCACCTGTGCAAGCTGTGGCTCACCTGCGACGTGCTGTGCTGCACCAGCTCGATCCTGAACCTCTGCGCCATCGCCCTGGACCGCTACTGGGCCATCACGGACCCGATCAACTACGCCCAGAAGCGGACCGTGGGCCGCGTCCTGCTGCTCATCTCCGGGGTCTGGCTGCTCTCGCTGCTGATCAGCAGTCCGCCGCTGATCGGCTGGAACGACTGGCCGGACGAGTTCACCAGCGCCACGCCCTGCGAGCTGACCTCGCAGCGCGGCTACGTCATCTACTCCTCGCTGGGCTCCTTCTTCATCCCGCTGGCCATCATGACGATCGTCTACATCGAGATCTTCGTGGCCACGCGGCGGCGCCTGCGCGAGCGGGCCAAGGCCAACAAGCTCAACACGATCGCGCTCAAGTCCGCCGAGCTGGAGCCGATGGCCAACTCCAGCTCGCCCGCCGGCGCCTCCACCTCCGGCTCCAAGTCGCGCCTGCTGGCCAGCTGGCTGTGCTGCGGGCGGGACCGCGCCCAGTTCGCCACGCCCATGATCCAGAATGACCAGGAGAGCATCAGCAGCGAGACCCACCAGGCGCAGGCGCAGCAGCAGCAGGAGGGCTCCAAGGCGGCCTCCCAGGGCCACAGCGATCCGCAGCAGCAGCACGTGGTCGTGCTGCTCAAGAAGTCGCGTCGCGCCAAGATCAAGGACTCGATCAAGCACGGCAAGGCCCGCGGCGGCCGCAAGTCGCAGTCCTCGTCCACCTGCGAGCCGCACGGCGAACAGCAGCTCCTGCCCGCCGGCGGAGGAGGTGGTGCATGCCACACTGCCGGCGGAGGACACTCCGGCGGCGGGAAGTCGGATGCCGAGATCAGCACGGAGAGCGGGAGCGACCCCAAGGGTTGCATACAGGTCAGTAAGGACCGTATTTAATGTTAAATACCATAAGAAGAAACTCGTCAAAAGCCGTATTCCAAACCGTATTTCCGGTATTTCCGTTTTTTAAATGTTTTGAACCTTTTTTGAACATTCTATAAAGATAAGGTTCAGATAATCTTTTCAAGATTACAAAAATTTTTGTTGTTTAAAGCTTGAACCAATCTCTAGAACGATGCTGCAGATCGAGTTTAAGGTTGTAAAAAATTGTATGTAGATTATAGATCAACGCGAATTCATATATGCTCTATTTGCATTTATTTTGTAATGCTATTAAGAAGTTGATTAGCAACAACGTTGAAATATTACTTATGCTATTAATATGACCTCTAATGCCAAAAGAGTAACAACGTCTAATGACCTAATTCTACCTAAATTGCAGGTCTGTGTGACCCAGGCGGACGAGCAGACGTCCCTCAAGCTGACCCCGCCGCAGTCCTCGACGGGCGCCGCCACCGTCTCCGCCACGCCGCTGCAGAAGAAGGCGAGTGGCGTGAACCAGTTCATCGAGGAGAAGCAGAAGATCTCGCTGTCCAAGGAGCGGCGGGCGGCCCGCACCCTGGGCATCATCATGGGCGTGTTCGTCATCTGCTGGCTGCCCTTCTTCCTCATGTACGTCATCCTGCCCTTCTGCCAGAGCTGCTGCCCGACGAACAAGTTCAAGAACTTCATCACCTGGCTGGGATACATCAACTCCGGCCTGAACCCGGTCATATACACCATTTTCAACCTGGACTACCGGCGGGCCTTCAAGCGGCTGCTCGGCCTCAACTGAGACCCGTTCGCCAGGTGGGGCGGACGGCCAGCGGTCCGCGGCAGCGGAAGGATGTCGATGGTCGAGCGGAGCAGCGTTACTCAGAGTTTGTGCCAAACGTAAAGAGTGGTTTATCCGACCAGCAAAGATCTCATTTATCAGTTGAGCCCCAACTTACCGAACTACTGATGTTCAAGCAGATTCGAACTTCTATGGCCTCTAACTCTTTTAGCGGGCAATCTGGATTTTGATTAAGATGTTGTAATACAGTTAAGTTTGTGCTATTTTTATATAATCATTTTTTCTACAGCTTTGAACAAATTGTTATGTTTCACAAAACTGCACTTTGTTGCTATGGTTTTTAGAAAAAATAACATTTTTATGCTATCTTACCAATAGAAAAAATTAAGTTATAGAAGTTCGTCTGTTCGGTAAAACCGGGGCACACTTAAGAAAATACGAATTGTTCAATACTCATATTAAAATCGGTTAAGCTGAGATAAAATGAGGACAAAAGCCTCCAGCCACCTATGCCTGCTATGGAAATCATCAAGTAACATTTTAAAAATACATAACCATACACACATTATACGAGTATATACCATAAACAAGCAAATCGACATCCCAAACGAGAAAAGCATCAAATTGAATTTAATACAATTAAATTAAATGTTTAGGCACAAGATTTGTGGCAACTTTCGTGTTTCACCCTACGCGTATGGAAAAAAACAAAAAGGTGTTAGTAAAATCAAATCTGCGCTCAAAATATGTATAACAAAGTAAGCATAACTTCCAAATAACAAAATATGATTTCTAGGATTTACTTTAACGATTTGTATTTAATGTAATTTAACTGTAGGTAACCGATAAACTACTACACTTAATGTATATTTTCAAATACGCTTTACACTATTTGTTAAATAATTTAATGAATAATTGTTTTTATGACAGCAACAATTGTGTTGAGAGGGCAGCTGAAAGCTTGCGCATCGAAACGTACTTAAGGTAGATAAATGTTTAATTGCACTTTACGGAATGCAAAAGAGTTAGCGAAATGGAGTATTATAAATCGATGTATAAACTCAAGTACATGCTATATCGTATATATCACAATTTATGTCTTTTAATGACTATGTACGATAGTTTCACTAATTAACTTGTTTAACGAGCAAATGCAAGCTAAGCATAAACGAAACAAACAAAAGACAGATTCGAATTAAAGTTATGGAAAAAACTAAAGAAGATGGTGTTTGTTCTTTATTAACCGATTTTAATGCTCTGGGATGAATACCTGAACAGCTTTGAAGAATTGGTGAGACAAATGTTAAAGAATTACAACGGTTACCGAATTTTTTAATAAAAATATTAAACAGTATGGTATCGTGACGTCATTTCCCGCGAGTCCCCAGAAAGTATTTGCATAGTACCTACCAGAACCATCGGATGTGAAAACAAAAAAAAAGTGTATGGGTTTTTAAAGGTACAACTTCGACGAAGGAAAAAATAATGAAAATGCCATTTTCCGGTTTTTATTAAAAGATTTAAATTCTGGCTGAAGTTTTTCAAAATTTTAAATCTAAATACAACTATGTATTGCAAAAACACAAAATCCTTTGTCTAGAATGTTGCAAGTTGCATCCCTTAGGCCTATCTACAATGTCTTTGTCATCGGGTGAGAATTTCTCAAGAAATAAAAACACAGTTTCATCAAAACTCCTTTTAAGTTTTGAGCGCTGCTCGAACTACTCTGGAGCAAAATACTCCAGACATGTTGTAGTATTTGATTAGACAAAAATAGAAATCAATCCCTTTTTAAGGGATCATCCTTTTTGGCAGCTTTTAACAATTATACTCTTTCTTCCGTCATTAAAAGAATTCGCGTTTACATGATTTTTAGATAATAACACAAACAATAGGTCCTCATTTAAACGAAAGTGGTACAGATTTATAGACCTCTGCCTACATTCTTCATCTGACTGACTTATCCCATTGCATTTTACTTGACATTTCGCAATTCGTTACAATAATATTATTATTATTATGGTTTCTATTAAGATCAGACTACTTTATTATACAGCTGCTATATAAATGAAAAAAGAAATGAAATTTTTTCTTTCAAGGGTGATTTTGACCTTCGGCTTGCCTAGTTTCTAATACCTTGTTTTTAATGTAAAATAAAAATTTAAATTTATAACAATTTTTTTGACGATCTGTCAATGTAAACTATCGACAGTCCGCGATAGCCGTTCACAGCGAACGCGTTCCTCTCAGGTCAGCGGTGTCATTTCCGCTTTTTTCCCGTCAGATTTGGATTTTTTTGAAGTGCGATTGCGGGAAAAATATGAAAACAGCGGGCAGCGGGAATTCTGGCTTTTTAAGCAAATTTAAACAGCTTTTTTTTAGTTTACTTTTACTCAAATTTTAGAGTTGTTTAAATTGAATTTAACGGCTTAAATTTTAAAAATGTATTTCTATCGACAAAAAAATGGATATTTACTTGTATCGAGAAAGTTTCATCAAAAGATCGCACCTAAATTGAAGCGTCTTCCATTACTAACTTTGTGAAATTCTCGTGCGCTGAAAGATATTGACGATACCAAAGTAAGCCTACAAGCAAAAAGTCAGAGATGTCTGGCTACAGAGCACGGAGTTTAAAGAGTGGATGAGGAAGGATCCTACAAACCTTACGCGAATGTTTTGCAGCTATTGTAAGTGCAGCATAACTGCAAAATTTAGCGACTTACGTGCACATGCTGCTACAAAAAAGCACAGCATTGCTATGGAGGGATTTGTGAAAAAAAATAAAATACATTTTGCTAAAACGCCAACACTGAGCAGGAGGTAGCGCTTTGCATATTTGTTGCTCAGCAGAGTTTTTATCCGATTACCGATTACCGATGATATTGACGAAATTTTAAACGTACTTTAATTCATAGTTTTCGTACTTTCATGTATATTATAATTATTAATGAAAAACATACAGCACATTGCTTTATAAAAATCAGCTTTTTTCTTAACTTTTTTTCTCTGGTATTCCGCTTTTTTTAGCTTTTTTTTTCGTTGATCCAGCTTTTTTTGCTCAGAAAAAAATGACACCACTGTCTCAGGTAGCAGTGTTCCATCACTAGCAAAGTGACGGCTTGTAAATGGTTAATATTTAAAATTGCTTGAGCTGGCGGTAAAAGAGATTGATCCCAAATAGCTATTACCTGCGGACGCAGATTTCCGCGAAGTCAGCCGCTAATACAGGCAGACAGATCGTTTATTAGATCCCTGTGATGTATATAAGCAGCAGTCGCACTGTTCAGAGCAGTCAGACCATGGAGACTTCGGAAGCTGTGAATACGTGTGCGGAGGCAAGAGACCAGCTGAACGGATCCTTTCGGCTGCAGTGCTCGGTATCCTCCGTGGACATGGAGAGCGAGAGCGACCTGTCACTGGCCTTCGAGCGCGAGGAGCAGTCCCCGGACGGCAGCTGCGACGAGTTGCCGGCCTTTGAGATCCGCGCCTTCTCACCCCACGGACGTACCCCGTCCCCCATCGACGATCTCAGCCTTTCCGACATCGAGACGCCCAAGCAGCTGCTTAAACAGCAGCCTCCTCGGAACGAGGAGGAACCCTCCCGCCAACACGACCCCCAGTACGTAGCGCTGCACGAGATTAACGCCCAGATCAGCCCGCCTTGCGACGCCGACGACTCCAACAGCCTGGAGACCATCTTCGAGGGCGTCTTCCTGAACACCCCCCGCGCGAGAAAGGCACAAACTCCGTCAGCTCGCGATTCACGCCCAAGCGCAGCCGGGCGAATCTCATCGAACTGATGGCCATCGAAAACCGCCTGCACGGCGGGAAGGAGAATCAGTCGCCGGGAGCGCGAGTCTCCGAACTGCAATCGCCCCCACCGCTGAAGGACCCCACCTAATGACTAGCACACATATGATCCCAACCAAAGCGATTGAGCCCTCGCTCGGACTGCCATCGAATGTTCTAGACTAAGTTTCGATTTACCTGAATTTAAGGTCTTATGCCAGTAATCGGCAGGTGTACACCTTGATGTGTATCCTCGACTGATCCTTAAGTATATCCTAGCTACGTGCCCTGACTGTTTCAATCCCAGGCAAGACGGTTTTGTATTGGTAAATAAAGATTGTCTTTCCATGTTTTAAACATAAAATCGAGATTTACTCGAAATTTGTTTTTCGGGTGGTGCAGGTAGACAGGAGGGTAGGAAAACTTAGAGACAAAACAGTCCAGAGTACCTGAACCTAGGCAGCCAATAAATCACTACTAATAAACGCTAGCAATAAAAACTTCCCAAAACAGCTTGCTGTTGCCAATTTGGTAAATCCACTTTTATGGCCAAATGATGGATTTGGAAAACCACTAAAGTATGTATGTACACTCAAAGGGTGATGACCAAATTTTAATTGATATTTCAAATTTTCTTAACAGATCGGGCTTTAACTCTTTCAAATTGCAACGTTACATAGAAACTTTGTTTTTTGTTTAAAAAAAACAGTAGTGTCTATATTCCTTTTTGATTCCCCACCCAACTAAACTAAATGTAGAAGTTCTGAAACCATTCAATTTATTGAAGAGGATAATTTGAAAAGCTCAACCGATTTTAAAAATAATTTTTGGAAAACAAATACCTCAATTTTATGGTTCTTAACCTTTTGCTTCATGCCTTAGCAGTAGTATCAGTGAAATAGTACAAACAAGTATATATGTATGTGAATTTGGTATCCTTAGCACCTCTTTGCTGGGTTATTTGCGTCTATTTGGGAAGCAAATATACATAAACTTAAAAGAACCATCTTTTTGAAAAATCATTGAACAGATTTTAAATAATATTTCTGGAAAACTGATACCTTAATAATAGGGTTCTTACATATTTTTTCATGCCTTAGCGGTAGTTTATATAAAATAGTATCAAAATAAGTATGTATTCACACTAATTTCTACCTTATTAAAAGATACTAGCACCACGTTGCTGAGTTGATTTGCGAATTCGCGTCTAACACGAACTGTATTTTGGAAGCAATATACATACACTTAAAATAACAAAATCGGAGCATTGTAAGTAAAGTAGAGTAATAAAGACGGGAATGTTTTCATAGGTTTTAGAACACATTCGAAAAATACAGCGGCTGGGATAGGAGTAAGGGGATAATTCAACTTTAAATTTTGTAAGCAGTGATACAAAAGCCAAATAACGAATGAGGTAGTTATCCATTGGTAATGTTTGGCAGTTTGAAACCCATTCTAGTCCAGAAGTCCGGACGTGCCATCCGCCTCCAATCAGAAGTTCTTTGAGTGACGCGACGCCGAGAACACCTTGACGCGGAGCAGCCCTGGGTTGACCTCCTGCCATCTGAAATAGCAGAATGATTAAATGATTTTCGGACAAATATGGGGTGCTTCTCACCGCAAGCGCCGTTCGCCCAGCCTCGACTTCACCTTGATCTTGATAGTGGACACTCCATTTGCGCTGTGCAGCCCCCGACCGGTGATAATAAAGACATGCTTGTAAACGCGAGTCGAGTTGCGCAGTACAGTGATGTGGCGGTCGAGGAACAGGTCCAGGCAGCTGATCGCTTCAATGGCGTGCAGGTAATGCAGGTCCAGAAGATCTGGATTGTTCTGGGTGTGCCGATGCACCTCCATGATGCAGTTTGCTGCCCGCTGGTTGAACACGTCGATTTTCTGCTTGTGCAGCTTGGCTATCTCCGAGTAGTAAAGCGCAACGCTTCCGTTGCCGCGCTGTACCGCCTCTTTCGCCTTCAAATAGCACTCCGCTTTCAGCTGAGAGTGATGGGCGGCCATGTTTCGAGTCTCCTCGAAGTCTCGGAGGGCAGCGCACTTGGCCTCCTCGTGCATCAACGGCGACCGGCCACTTGAGGACGAACTGGAGCTGGCGCGCTGTCCTTGGCTGGAAGAGTTCTGCTGCAACTGCCTTTGCTGCTGCAGCTTCTGTTCCTCCATCGCCACTTGGGTACTTAACTTTTCACCCTCGCGAAGAGCCTTTTCATACAGCTCGGCTCCGCTGAGCGAACTTTGGGCGTTGCTGTCCAAAACCTCGACCGTCTGCCCATAGTTGCTGCCTGTAGCCGCAAAAATTTCGAGAACCGTATCGTTGGGGATGTCAGGGAAGGCCTCGCACAGCTTCATCTTAGTAAGGTGCGTGGCGATGTCGTTGGGCGGTTGATTGCGGGCGGCCAACTCGGCTGCCTGCTTGGCAGCCAGCTGTTCGCTATTGTAAATGCTCCAAGCCAGCTCCATGTCTAGTAGCTCGCCCACGTTGCTCGGCGACTCGCTGCAGTCGGCATATCCCGGGTGCTTTAGCAGGCGGGCGAACTGCTCGTCATCCCGCAGAGTCTGCTGCCGCTGCTCCTCCAGCTGGTTGTACACGGCCTCCATCCACAGCATGTAAAGCTGCTTAGCCAACTGGCGCGGCACAAACACTTTTGTGGCGAGAGGCAGCTCCTGCTCCGGCGGTAAGATCTCATCGTCCGTGTGGAACTGGGCTCGCAGCTGCTCAATAAAGGAAGCGCCCAGATCCATTTCCAGTAGAGTATTATCTTCAGGGTCCTCCTCATCCGGCTCTTCCTGGTCCGCTTCCTCGGGCGCATCTGGCAATTTGGATGCGATGGGTTGATCGAGAATACCGTTGCGGAGATCGCGGATTTTGCGGGTGTGCTCCGAGTACTGTTCGTCACCTAACACAAAGCAGTTTTCGATTTGAATTTGCAACTCCTTGTTGGTGGGCGCCGAAGTGCGTTTGTTGCGGGGTTGTCGCTGCTGCTTAGGTGCGGTTTTGGCTGCTTGCAAAGTTGGTGACGAAGGGAAAGGAGGTGGAAGTTCTTGACTTTTCACCGACTTGTCGCAGTCGCACTCAAACTGCGCAGCCTCTTCGGCATTCCCAGACTCCTCGAATCCGAACTGATCCGATCCCGAGGCTGCGTTCAGCTCGTCCTCTTTGAGCAGGATATCGACGGCCCAGTCAACGTCGGCCTGGCACTTGACAAACAGGTCCCAGAGGCCTGTCAGCTGTTTGTTGGGATACATCTGACGCAAGAGTGAAAATCCTGCCGGCTCATTCTGGCAGTCTAAGCAGTGCTTTTGCAAGGGCTTTTGCTCACCGGACTCTGATTTTAATGGCGCCTTTTCTGGTTTGCTCTCGTCCCGAAGAAGCTCAATCAGCGATACTTCGGAAGTTGCTGAGGCCGAAGCATCTGAAATGCTCGGAACTGCCGCGACCACCGAGTCTCCAACGTCTGTTGAATTTGCTGTCTGCGACCAGTAACATGGTGCACCTTGTTCGTAGGGCACCCAGCTCTGCGCGTTGGCATTCAGCGCAACGGGGCTTTGCTTTGGCTCTGGAACTCTGGTTTCCAAAGGTTTGTCCTTAAAACTACTAAGGACTGGCATAGATGGAAGGGGCGGATGTTGGCGCATTTGCGGCAGGTCCACCGTGTACTTTGTCTCCTTCAACAGCTGTCGTAAAAAACAAAAATGTTTAAATGAGAAATTAAAACAAACTTAAATCTTTTAGAATACATTTTCTTAATATTTTAACTCTGTTTCAAGTACATTTTCGCTTTTGTGTCTTTTATAATTAAATAAAGCCTCTTCGCTAGCATCTTACCTGGATAAGATCCGCGGCAGTGGTGCGCTCGTAGCGCTCTAGCATTCGTTGGATGCTCTCCCGCGGGACTTGGTGGACGTTCTTTTGAGCCAGCTTGCTAGCCGACTTACACCAGCTGGTCTGTGGCTCCAGCAGCTCTAAAACGTAGCCGTGGCGAACAGCGGACTTGACGTAGGGCTGCATTTCCCACACCATAGTGTTGGTGTTGTCCACGAAGATGGGGCTCCATCCGCGTGCAGCCTTTTCGCTCACTCGCTGCTGGTTCCATTCGTGGGCGGCTGGCAGCAGGGTGGGATTGAACTCGTAGCCGTGCCGCGTCCAGAAGTAGTCATCCGAGCTGAAAACGAAATCTCGCACGTGGTGCTTCTCGAGCAGGCGGGCCTGGCGCAGCACCGATTCTGCCAGAGTGCTCTTTCCACTGCCTGGCGGACCGCGCATAATGACCATTAGTTTGTGCCCTGCCTGCGCCTGCTGGCAGATCGACTTTAGCTGATTTTGGCTCTGGTCATTGTTGGTATTTAATGTTTGACTGGCGGGGAACATTCTGATGGAACTTGCGGCTCCGGCGGTGGCATATTTCCTAGGCGTACCGCCACTTCTGCTGCGGCTGCCATTTTTGTTGTTGCTGCCCACTAAGAGCGCCAAATCAGCTGGCTCAGCGGAATTTTGCGCCGTCGACATGGCGTTTATATGCTTCTCGATTGTGTTCTGTGAAATATGATCGTTTAGAGTGGTCTGTTTAACGTAATGCGCAGTAATCAGCTAGCTCCCCCGCCCCCGGGAGTCTCTTATCGCATTCGGGTTTCAGACTCACCAATATCTGCCCAAGCGAGAATCAGCTCGATCCATAAAGTAGGGGCAGGCAGAAATTTTCTTCAGCTCCTTCGCTAGGTGCACGTCTAAGGTCACTCCTGCGGACTCCGACTATAAGTTTGTTTGTTTCTTCCCCACTGGGAGATCAGCGTCTCATTACATCCGCGAACTTGCTGCATTGCCAAATGGGAAAAACCACGTCCGAGCGAAACTATCGTTGCTGCTATCGGTAACGCGTAATCGAAATGCAACGGAGCTGCTTAAGTATGTTTTGCCGCCAAATATAAATTTCGAAACCAAAAAATTAAGAGCAAATTAACCTCTGAAAAAAGCGAAAAACTAAACAGTGAACTTTATCATAAGTTAGTTTTATAAACAAATTGAAAAAACCATTATGTTTGACATACAAGACGTATAGAAATTAAGTAAGACAGTATAATTACATATAAGAATAAATACAAATAATACGTCTATAACCTATATCTTTTAAAGGTTCAACCAAAAAAATAAAAAAATGAAATGTTAAAAATAAATAAGCCTTCTGTTTTTTTGTGTAGTAATACATAGCATTATTTACTATTAAAAAACCAATTCGTATAGCTGCCAAAGGAATCTGTAAGTTAAAATATGAAACCACTGCAAACGCAAATTCAATAATGTTGCACAATAACAATTGCCCCTACGCGACACTCGAAGATTAGTCGGCTAGCTTACTAAGTATTCGAAACTCTCAACGAATTCTGTAGAAGCTGCACGAACGAGGTGGAACACCTTTTCTGTTCCTGAGTATATGTTCCTTAGTATATGTAGCTAGCCAATTCCTAATCACATGCACCGAACTAGCGCTTATTACACCTTTCAATTCATACCAATAAATTTATAAAAGTGGCCGGAAGGACACTGTGGTATGACTTAAATCGACCATTGTAGATTCAGTGAGTCATATAAAATTGTAGGATTGTCTTTTTCAGCCTTTGCACTGCTATTTCTTACTGTTGTCCGTAAATTATATTGTCATGTCACCGAAAAAAAACAGTTTTAACAGATTTAAGAGCGAAAGCTTTATTTAACACTTAAAATAAAACCATAATAAATGGTATTAAAATGCATTATATATAAAGTTGCTTGAGCCAGATATGGATTTAATGGCGCTACTTCTGTAGGTATATCGCAACGGGCACTACAAAAAAAGTGGTCACCACCAAGATAAGTTTGATTTTACCGACTGGTACCATTTTAAGAAGCTTTGATTGTCTTCCAGAATAGTCAATTAAACCTGAAGAATTCGAGCTCAACTCAAAACCTGGAATTGCTGTCTTCGTTTTGGATAATAAAGGGCTAGCTGCTGCTCGTAATAGCAGAGCTAAAAGGAATCACAATAGCAGCATTATCTGGTCGCATAGCCATTGCCTTCAATGCTCCTACTTTTAAGACTTTGGCGGTGCTTCTTGCAGCAGATGAAGAAACCGAACATAACTGACGAACTGTGCCATTAACGGATGCCATCTCCCAAGTTGAGCTGAAGCCAGCACCCTTGGGTAGAAATTTCTTGGCCCATTTCCAATATCTGAGTAGTCCGATCAACAATTTAGTAGCTTTATATTTAAGAGCAGGCGGCTCATTGTGTGGTCCCGGGCTCAAGGGCTTGGAAGCAGAAGCTAAAGCCGCCTGAGAAGCTTGGGTAATGGTTTTGGCCGCTACCTCCGCAGCCGAATTAAGTTTAATTTGTGGTTTTGGTGTTAAAGATTTTGCGACAACATTGGCTGCAGAAGATAAGGGCGAGTTTGTGTTCGCAGAAGAAATTACGGATCGAGTTCCTTGGGTTGCTGTTTCGGCCACGCGATCGGCAGCAGAAGATAATCCAGTTGTAAGGGTGTTAGTGGGAAGTCTCGAAGTCAATTTGCCGAGCCCTAGTAACCTTTTAGATCTCAAGGCGGCCAGCCAAGAAATCAAAGTCCACAAAGAAGCAGGGTGCATTTCACTGACTTCCTGGCCGACACTTTGCTGAATGACTGTCTCCGGAACTGGCAGCGTAGAATGAAGGGTATGGAACATTCTGTACGATATGTATGCTCCAACTAGCACGCCTCCGATAAATACAGCCACCTTGACTTTTTCGTTAAAATTGTCTTCGCTGGGAACTGGGAAGAATTGTTTTGCCCATTCAGATGAGTTTTCAGATAGAGTAGAGTTCTTGTCGGGATTGACGAGCTCGACTGATGAAGCTCGAGTTTTGGTATTCATCAGGATGCGGTAAGCACTTGCGATCTGCACGAACTTCTCCGATCCGCCACTGTTTTTGTCGGGATGAAATTGCAGGGATAATTGTCTAAAGGTTTTTTTAATAAGTTCTTTGGATGAGTTTCTAGGCAGTCCCAAAACATGGTGGGGATCCTGACGAGAGTAATCCATTTTGATTGGGCACTAGAAGGGGGTACTCAAGGTAAGAGTTTCTGGGATTTATTGTGCGCACTATGCACTCACCAACTATTGAAACTGGTTTTTTTAGATACGGGGAAGTCCCAAGATGCACGTAATATATTGATGTGTACAGTATAATTCGCTTAACTGCCTCGATGCTTAGCTGCATCGTCAAGATAACTGCCTTATTTCTATTTTTTTCTGCATTTATGGTCTCATTTGTATGAAATTAATTACGTTTGCTGCATTCAAGTTAGCTGCCTTTCGCACTTAAGTGCCTCGTTTCGGCAGAATTTAACTGTCTTATTCTATGAATATCATCCAACTTAACTGCGCCATCTAGGATTCGAATTTGGAAACAACAAATTTATGAGTTTTAATCATGTATCTTTTTTTGTGCATATGGCAACGCTTGCATCTCTTTGCGCATGTCCGTTTTTCGTTTGTTTTGATCGTGCCATTTGTGTGCATAAATCATTCCTAATCGTAAAAATGGGTAAAGTGAAGCGCTTGGTTGGCTTAACTTTAAAAGAAAAGCTCCAAATTATTACGGCTGTCAGTGAAAAAGTTGATAAAAGTGTTCTCTGCACGAAATACAAGTGTGACAGATCAACAATAAACCGTATAATTAAAAATCAAGACGAAATTCAAAAGTTTTTTTTTTTTAGACAGTTTATAAAAATTACGTTAGCTGCCTTTTTAAGATAGCTGCCTCCAAAATCACTGCAATCGACTCGATGCAGTTAAGCGAATTATACTGTATTAACTAAAGCTGATAGAACCAAGTGCTGCCCTTAAAAGCGCTCGCAAATCGATAAATATGTTATCTTTGATCAGTGCAGCCAATTCAACTTTTAATCGTTTGCAGTTCGAATTTTGTAGCTGACCCCAAAGAACGAGTAAATCTAGACATCGTTTTTAGGCGATAACGCTTTAGCAATAAATAATGTTTTTTACAAAGTTAATACCCGCATTTATTATGTTAATCATCGTTTGAAAATTGCATTAAATAATATCGTTGCACACCTAATGTATTGCAATTTTTTGTTCTAATATATTCAAGAAGCTCTTATTAAAAATCCTTTTATAGTTGATAACGTATTATCTATTAATTTATCTTCTATGTGAAATCGTAGTTTACTTTTGAAGTAATCGTAAAAGTTAAGTTGTTTAAATTTTAAAGACTGTTGTAAAGTTATACAATTCGACAGTCCTGCTATTATGAATTGACAGTATTGAGCGCAAATTGTCAGCTCTGGTCGATAATATACATATTACATATGTATGTATGCATATGTTCGAAATCATCGATCCCGGCTTTTGCATTCGATTTAATGGACTAAAATATATAAAATAACAGTAAATAACTTAACCTTTATACACGAACCTTAAACCTATTGCGTTAAAGTTCTTAAAACATATATTTTTCAATCTGTTTGACCTTGATTAGAATATCCTTAAGTCAGTCCGACGACGATCCATCGCCGTTGGCGGCCGGCTCCTTTTTCCGGGTAAAGAACTGGAATGTTTTGTAGGCCGCGAATGCGAACAGCACGGTTCCGCCGACGGCGCACATGAACGGCAGCATGTCGGACGTGGGCTGGGCGAAGGTCGCTGGCTCGTCACCACATCGCAGACCCTCCTCACCGAACTTGTCGTAGATCTGGCGCTTTTCCTCGTCGGACAGGACCTCAAAGGCGGCAACCACCTCCTTAAAGTGCTCCTCGGCCTGTGGGTGGTCGTTCTTGTCCGGATGGTAACGGAGCGCCATCCGGCGGTATCCCTTCTTTATCTCTTCTGTGCTCGCGTTCCTCTCAATGCCCAGAATCTTGTAGTAATCCTTGCCCATTGTGATGAAATCGAATTTCTTTTTCCGATCGTGATGTTTGCTCAGTTCGGCGCTGCCAAGTTTCCTGTCTCAGCTTATTGGTACCTGCGTACGCAGAGTATCGTGGTTGTAGTAATTTTTAGATTCTGTTCGCTGATTAAAAACAATATAAAAACAGAATAACAAAAACTAAATGTTTCAATCGATAATCGATAACTTTCTGTCCGCCACAGCTGGCTGGCTACGTTGCCGGACTTATCTATTGTAACTGCAACAAAAATTCAAATATGTGAAAAAACCTAAGGAAATTGTTACAAGAAACAAAAAACGATAGTTACCACGTTTACGTGGGGGTAAAATTGTGCTTATGGTGCTTTTGCTAAAAATGGGTTAGGAATTTTTATTTTTTTTTTTTTAATTACCTTGGATTGATAACATTGATACAAAAGTGTAGGAAAGCGCAATTAAAAATGCGCAAATTATGTGTTTTTTTTATAAAACATCGAAATCCGATGTTTGTTGTTTTTGTCATACTGAATTCAAAATGCAAATGGTCCGACAAATTCGGACCCGTTAAACTTTAAATTACTTTCGATGTCTTGGCTATCTCCCTAAGGCTATACTTTTACATTTACATTCATATACATTTAAAAATATATATATAATTTTTATTACAAAAAAACTTATCTAAATGAAATTTGTTTTTGTTTTTCCTCTAAATTTTTCCAACCTTAAAATGATCATTTAGTAATCGTTGAAACTATTTGACCAATAACACTCTGGAGGCCCAATTGAATTACCCATAACTAATATAAATATTGTCTCGTTTTTAAACCAACTTTAAATAATATTTTTTTTTCCGAAATTGCCGATACATTACCTCAACACCGTTTTGCACCGCAGTACTCATATAGGCTTTTGTCTACCAGAAAATATACATAGTCGCACTTTTAGTCTTCTGTAACTACCTCAGGTGAAAAGTCATCCCGGAAAATAAAAAAGTAAATCTTTCAAGCCGAGTGTGAGCGAAATTCAAACCAAAAACACAAAAAATGGAAGGAAATCTCTAATAATCTGCCGCAGTTTAGTTCAGAAGCAAAAGTCGTAAAAAAGCTAACTTTTTTCAAATGAGAACAAATATAATACTATTGAATACAAAATATTTTGTTTAATTTCTTTGTGGACCGACAGACTTGCATTGTCAAGGTAATTACAATTATTTTGCAATTATTTTGCTCTATACATATTCTTTAAAGCTTTTGGGACTCCCCTCCTGCAGTCCTGGGGCGGTCTTATTTGCTTAAGTTGCAAGTCAGTAAGGACATCCAGTTTCTTAAAAAATGAATTTTTTTAATGTGTGTCAGCAAACCCAGCAGGCATGGTACATGTACTTTGCTGAATTCTAATTACACAAAAAAAAGTTCGCCTCTATCAAGCCTGGGTGCTACCCTAACCTTTGTTTGGAATCGTTGAAAGAAGTTGTTTAATTCTCTGCACCTTCCATGTTGCAAGCTTTTCTTTTTTTTTTCCCATCTTGACCTTACAGTTGGGACCTTAATGTATATCTAAGCCCTAAGCGAGTTGAAGTGCTTTTTCGCTTTAACTCAAAATATAAAAGAACTCAAAATATAAAAAATTAACACTGGAAATAAACAACATCATAGAAATGGAATGCCAAACCTACTTCCTGCTATCTAGAAACAGACAAAAATATGCGGCAAAAAAACCTAATTTAAAAAGCAATTGGCCATCAGGGTCTCCTTGGAAGAGGGTGGGCTAGAAGGTGGAGAGAAATATGTTGAGCATGAAAAGAAGAGCATTGGAGGACTCGATCTGAAAGGGCCAATGACTGTTTTCTCGACGGCGACCACGAGAAAGAGCTCGGCTGCGAGAAAGAAGCGGACATCAGTTATTGCTTAAAAGGTGATGAAGTGGGCGACAGCCCGGCGAAGATCCACATCTTATGGGCGAAAGTGAAATCCTATATAGCCTACGCTTAGGTCAAAAAAAGTTTTGTAGATGTCGAGCCAATATCTTAATCTAGCCGTTTGGAAGCTAGTTGATTGCTTAATGATATACAAGATTGGAAACTTTTTATGTATTTTTAACGGAAAATTTATTAAGAATGGGAAGAACAAAATATTTAAGTTGACCAAATCCAACCGGGCTCAATTAAAAATCTACCCTTGGTGTAGTATTAATTAATTAATTAAATGAACAATATAATTTTAGGTTTTGGGCTAAAATACGTAGTAAAGAAAAGAATATTCAGATTTAAAAAAAAAAAAGTTAAAAAATTTACAAGATTTCATTTAATGGCCTGCCTAAAATAGTAGACTAAATTGAAAAATATCAGTTATATCGGATATATCAACATTTTTGGGAGATACATATTTTTTCATCTTGACATTTTTCCAAAAGCGATAATTATCAACGCGATATTTAATAAATCATGCCCCCCAAATATTGAGAGTAAATCAAAAAGTAACAGACAAAATACATTAGAGATGGCGACAAAACCAAAGTAAGACGGCCAAATGTCGATTGTGATTCAATTGGTGGGAGTATTCATTCATTTAGGAGGGTGTACTCGCTAGGCGCGGAGCGAGTATTTACTTACTAGGAGGGTGCACTCGCTGTCATATCGATGTCGGATTCTAGAGGTGGAAAAATACCGATAGTCGCTGTTAATATCGATGGTTCTCTTCCGCCGCCAACTTACCTCCTTTCCGTTCTGTGAGCGAAAACCGAAAAGTCTGTGCTTTGGTAAGTGCTGCTAAAAATCCGAATAGCCCTTGCATCTGAAGTGCTTTTGTGACGAAACCCTCCCTGTTGTGCCTCACTCGAAACCGCTAATCAAAATGGTCTCCTTGCAGTTCTTAAATTCACCCGACGAGTCCCTAATACACAATCAAAATGGTTAGGGAGAACAAGGCAGCATGGAAGGCTCAGTACTTCATCAAGGTTGTGGTAAGTAGAGTACCCGCCACGCCCGCCTAGGATGCCCCCACTAACCCGGTAATCCGCTTTGCAGGAGCTCTTCGACGAGTTCCCCAAGTGCTTCATCGTGGGCGCCGACAACGTGGGCTCCAAGCAGATGCAGAACATCCGTACCAGCCTGCGTGGCTTGGCCGTCGTGCTGATGGGCAAGAACACCATGATGCGCAAGGCCATCCGCGGTCATCTGGAGAACAACCCGCAGCTGGAGAAGCTGCTGCCCCACATCAAGGGAAACGTGGGCTTCGTGTTCACCAAGGGCGACCTCGCCGAGGTGCGCGACAAGCTGCTGGAGTCCAAGGTGCGCGCCCCCGCCCGTCCCGGCGCCATTGCCCCGTTGCACGTCATCATCCCGGCTCAGAACACCGGCCTGGGACCCGAGAAGACCAGCTTCTTCCAGGCCCTGTCCATTCCGACCAAGATCTCCAAGGGAACAATTGAAATCATCAACGACGTGCCGATCCTGAAGCCCGGCGATAAGGTCGGCGCCTCCGAGGCTACGCTGCTCAACATGTTGAACATCTCGCCCTTCTCGTACGGCCTGATCGTCAACCAGGTGTACGACTCCGGCTCCATCTTCTCGCCCGAGATCCTCGACATTAAGCCCGAGGACCTGCGCGCCAAGTTCCAGCAGGGAGTGGCCAACCTGGCTGCCGTCTGTTTGTCCGTGGGCTACCCGACCATCGCCTCGGCCCCGCACAGCATTGCCAACGGATTCAAGAACCTGCTGGCCATCGCCGCTACTACCGAGGTGGAGTTCAAGGAGGCCACGACCATCAAGGAGTACATCAAGGACCCCAGCAAGTTCGCTGCCGCCGCCTCGGCTTCGGCTGCCCCCGCCGCCGGCGGAGCTGCCGACAAGAAGGAGGAGGCCAAGAAGGTCGAGTCCGAGTCCGAGGAGGAGGACGATGACATGGGCTTCGGCCTGTTCGACTAAGCGGCTGGATGTACGATGCCCAGTAGTGGCGCCCACGGGCCCTCGCTTCTGCTTTCGACGTTTACCGCCTAAGACCCTAGATTATGTTTTCTGTGTGCAAATCATTGCCGCGGTTTGACGGACCCAATGGCAAGTTGCATTAAACATGTTGTAAACTGCTCGAAAGCAAACCGATTGTCTTTTGATTTGGTATATTAGGAGGAGATGTAAACCAAGGCCCCTAAAACAGAAAGGCTTGATCCATTTCATTCTTTAAATGGCCAGCAGACAGCAGGTGCCGCCTGCAGCTGCGCCCGCCCCTCCGGATATTTACAAAGTAATTACTTGTGATAAAATGAATTTCACAAGATGAGAAAAGTTTAAAGTTTCTGCTGCCGTCGACGTCGTCGGCGACTTTTGCGATTTCTTTTGCTTTTCGCCAAAGACGACGGCTACGGCAACGCTCATAAAAATTCAATTTGTCTTGACAAAATACGCAAGAAATTAAGAATGTGCCAAGTGGCGGCAAAAGAAACTTTCTTTCTCTTTTCCCCCACATCCCACTTGCCTGTTCTTTCGTGCTCGTCTGGAGAGCGAAAATGAGTTACGCGACTGGGGCGTGAAAGTGCCACGCCCTCGCGGCAATGTGTCGCCCACGAAAAGCGGAGGGCGAGTGGGCCGGAATACGGAATTGGAATTGGAAGCAGGCGGAGCAGGAGCCGCGGGCCAAGTTAAACACTGCATAAATAGCAGGGGCCAAAATGTACGGCTGACGAAAATAAATCCTCCGCAGGCCTCCTTGGACTTCAGAGATGGGATCGTGAGCAAAGCGACAGAACTTGGCGCTCACATCTGTATTGTATCTGAAATCATTTCCAAGTGCTTTTACTACTTTATACCAACACAAAGGGGAATTCATTCCCACATTTTCCTCAGCTATTTTAAAAGCTTCTAAGCAGAAAACATATCTTAGAAAAGTAATCTTAAGTTTTTGTGCATATTTTTTATATATTCTAAAAATATTTTTATGTTGGTATTTTGTACCTGTTTCCTTAGACTTATATTTGCAGTTTATTTAAACAAAGCTTACTTTAAGTCAGGGAGTTAACTGTAAACTAAAATTGATTTGATTATCACTGGTTTGTACGACCTAACTCGCAACTTATCCCCTTGATACATATTTGACATTTTTTTCGACGACTTTTTCCGTGTCACGCTTTCATCACCGTTTTGGGTATGTGTGGATCCCGAATGGCTTTCAGATAAATTAATAAAGACATTGCATAATTTGAGGCGCCGCTGGCGGCAAATATACACAGGAATTAGCATAAACTGTGGGGCGACCCATCATCCGCATTCCTAGTCCGACCTATAACCAGTCCATGAGCCATTCACCACCACCCACAACCCACAACCCACCGCTTGCCACTCAATCAGCAGCAAGCGACATTTGAAATCAAAATGCGATTGGCAAAATGATTTGCTTCAATTTTTGTGATGCGCATAACAAATGAAGTTTGGACATTCGGACAATTGATTGGGACAGCAGCCATGTGTTCGGGAGTGGGGAAGTGGAAGCGGGGATCGCAAGGGGGTGGTCGAGACCCATATAGACAATGTACGATATACCACACATCACATCACACACTCCATCGCAATGTTTGCCATGCACAACAATATGTGGAGCAGTCGACAGACCCGGAATCAGATTCAGATCCGAGTTCAGGACTCCAGCAGTCCAAGTGGCAAGCCCCCTCCGACCGGGAGTCCCCCGAATCTGGACTCGATTTTGGCTATCCCATGCGCTCAGATAGATTTGTATGCATATTTTTGCTTCGGCATTTCGTTTGTGTGCTAAACATGTGAATGCCATCGATATAACGATGCTGCTCCTGTTATCCACGCTCCCCTGCATTCCCGCTCTGTCGTCCTGTGTGCCCAGCTGTGATTTGTTTGGCCAAAAGATTCGGAGCAAAACGGTTTAATTCTCTCGGAATGGCTTAAACGATTCCTGCCGGCGAGTTCTTCGAGCGAACTGTGAACTGGAATCGGAATTTCGAAACAAACTCAACTACAACTTTTAAAACTTTTTTGCTTATTCAGTAAACATAAATGTAGTTTAATACAAAAGTTTAAAAAACAATATTGGAACAGACATTTCCGAAACTTTAAACCATTCCTTATGAGTATCATCAGTCGACTTTACCTATCAGTAACATAAAATAGAATTTAATGATTTTGAAATGGTATCATTTCAACAAATATATGTACATATATTTAGGATTCCAAAATAAAGTGACGCGTTAGGTAACGGTAGTAACGGAGCATTATTGTTAGTTATTATTATGTATATTGATTTTTTCTAAAGGTAATGGTTGGGCAGGGGCGGACGCAGAAAAAAAAATTCTGGGGGTCCGATCAAAATGTTTTTTTTATTTTATATGGTTGAAATACCTTGTGCTGTAAGGTGTTTTGAAAAAGTCTGAGATTTTGGGAGCGGTGGTCCGGACCCTCTGAAACACCCGCCTGCGTCCGCTCCTGTGGTTGGGAAATATATTTAAATTTTATTTGAACTTTTGTACATTATTAACTATACTTTTAACAATGTTGTGAACATTTCTCATGCAGTTAGTAAATACTTCCTTCATAACCTCTAGGGAACAAGTTTGTATTTTTCCCATAATTCGGCATACCTAACTTAAAAATTTATTTTAAAAAGAAGAAAATAAGCTAGCTTCGGCAAGCCGAAGCTTATATACCCTTGCAGTCATTAAATATGTCGAGCAAAATACATATTAGTTTTCCATATTGTTCATATGAGAGCTATGTGATATAGTAGTCCGATTTTGACGAAACTTAATTTGAAACTCAAGACTCATAAGAAAACGCTATACTCCAAAAATCATGATTGTCTGATGAAAAACAACGATGTTATCATTTTATTTCCGTTATTTCTATATAGACTTTCCTATCTTTCCTATGACAGCTATATGATATAGTGCTCCGATTTTGTTGAAATTTTTTCCTCGATTTAAGTGTATTTAAATTTGATGTTCCAAAAATCATGCTCGGGAAATTAAAAACAACGACGTTATAATTTTTTTTTTCATTATTTTTATATCTATTTTTCGATCTTTCCTATGGCAGCTTTATGATAGAGTTGTCCGATTTTAATAAAATTAAATCCGAAATTCAATAGTAGTTAGAAAACGTCATCTAAAAGAAATCCAGTCGATCTGATCAAAAACAACAGCGAAAAAATTTTTTATTCCATTCTCTCGTATTGGAGCTATCCGATATAGTCGGCCGATCCGGCCCGTTCCAAATTATATTCTGCGTGCAATAACTACACAACTTTTGGGAAAGTTTCAGCAAGATAGCTTCAAAACTGAGAGACTAGTTTACATAGAATCAGACAGGAGGACAGACAGACAGACGGACAGACAGACGTACAGACGTATTTTGATTCAGATCGTGATGATCAAGAATATATATACTTTATGGGGTCTGAGGTGTCTCCTTCTGTGCGTTGCAAACGTCTGACTGAAATTATAATACCCTTTTGCTCTGCAAGGGTATAATTAACGGCAATAAAAACTAGTTAAATTATAATCGAATCTTACGCCAACATAATTTAAGAACATTGAAGATATCGGCTTAAAATTAAAAGGTGTCGTACTCTTGAAATGCTGAACTCTTAGATAAAAAATCAATTTTATAGGAGTGAAAACACTTAGGGGATAAGTGTTTAAAAAATGATTTATTTAATTTTTAAATAAGTTTCAACTTTAATATTAACGAGAAAATGTATAAAAAATTGTTTTCGTCATATATTTATTATATCATATGGATTACCAGCTTACCCTTTCTTTAAAAACTACATAAAAACGATTGAAAAATTGTATCGAATGCTGTGAAAATTTGCGGCGGAGAGTAACCCCCCGAATCGGAGTAACTTTGGTTAGCATCAGCCGGCTGGATCCGAGATGATAACTGAAACAGAAATCTATTTTCCAACTGACTGACAACGTGCAGTGCAAATCCATTTTCCGAGATGTGCCAAGGGTTGCGAGGGGAGGCGAGCGAAGTGAAGGGGGAAGCCGAAAAACGAAGTAATCGAAATCTGAAAGCATTCGCTGGATTGTTTAGAGCGGGTTGCAGGGCGGCACCTGGCCACGCCCCCCTAAACAACATGCTCAATTTAGTCTCGTCACATCAAAATGTTTGCTCTTCGCGCTGTTTGGCGAGGCTGTTATTGTTGTTGTTGTGGCCGGGTGAATAATTCAGGAGGGGGATTTGGGTGAGGGGAGGGGGGAGGGGGAGGGGGAGGCGGAGTGGGGCGCTTTGTGGGCGCTTACCGCGTATAATTTATCTATGCATATGTTTTGAGTTGCCAGCAGCAGCAGCAGTAGCAGCAGCAGAAGTTCTCGCTGAGGTAGCCCGAAATTGGAGCCCTGCCCCACATAAATCACAGTCAAGAGCATTCGCAGGTCCACCCACAAGCCCCCCACTTGAGCCCCTCCCACACACCCCTTTCATGTCGGCGGCTAACTTTTGGCCTATTTGAAATCGGAGGAAATCGGCGACTGTGTGGAAATTATTGAATTAGTTTCACTCCCCGATTCTCTCCGCACGATCTTAGCCCGATCCATAGCGAGGCTATATAAGTTCAACGTTTATGTAGAATTGTTACTCTACCACGATGAAAGCCCTACAAATCGCTTTGGTCCTGCTCATCTCTTCGGCCTTCGCAATGGGGCAAAATAACAACACCAATGAAAACACAATCGTCATCGGACAACCTGGAAAATCGTAATTCATATTTACTCTTACGATTTCACAGCAATGTTTAACTAATCGTATGAGGTGAAAATAAAGAATGTATTACTATTAATGTTTTTTTGTTGGGTTATTGTGAATGTCAATTTAATCAGCATTAAGTGATTTATTTTAAGAAACCATTCGCTAGTTACAACGACATGTATTTATTGTTTTCTTATGAGTTATTTTCCTTTTTTATGGTTTAGTAAACCATTGGAAAAAGATAGCCTTAGCACTTCTTAAGCTGCATAGAAAATCTCTCTAAGAAAGCTGCTCCAGTTGGGTATTCATCTTAGGTCTCCTTAAAATCGGGGCGCTTTAGTACGACACAAAGACTCCTTGGGACTGTGATAACGGTTGTGTTAACGGTAACAATAAACGGCCAAAACCCGTTACGACGAGCGATGATTGCACGGCAAACGAGCAATTAAAATGTCGTGTGCCGGGGGAGTTGCCCCCGAAAACCCTCCTCCGCTCCCAGAAAGGGAAGCACTCCAGCCCTTTTGCCACGTACGCGGCATAACCTTCGGCCTCCTTCCCGGCACAGCTGTCACTGAACGAGAGTGTGTGTGCGTGGATGTGGGTGTGGGTGTGGGTGTGGGTGTGCGGGTATCCCTCGAATTCAGGATCCTTCGGCTTCTCTTGTTCCTTGGAGGCATTTTTACGGCCCTTCGTTTTAACGCAGGCAGCGGGAATTTCCACGTTGGGTATTTGAAATATGCACGTAATATTGCAAAATTTTAAGCGTATATCTTTGCATAATTAACTGAGAAAATACTTAGCACGTGGACGAAGGGGCGAAGGAGAGGCCGCAGTACCCCCTCTCCCTTTGCCTGCCTTGCAGGCATTTTTACCGCAGCTTCCAAATCTCTTGCAGAGGAGCGAATGAAACTTTTGCAATGATACTTCGGTCCGCACACCACCCATCCAACCAATGGAACTCGGCTGCCGCCACCCAGGTTGTGTGGAATTTTTAATCTGCCATAGAACCCGCCACCGAGCTGGGGCTCTGTTCAGACCTCACACTGTGAAAAAAGAAAGAGATGTTTAGGTGTCCCATCTGTTTCAAACTATAACACACACGTTCTTAGGCTTCAAAAAATAATTAGAGCCTGAAGGAACTGGGCGATGGGTTAGCACACAACGAATTATATATTTCTCAGACCTAAGGACAAATCCTTTGTTTTTAAAACTCCGAGTCCCCCACTAATTACTGTTAACATAAGGCAACATCACAATAACATATATACCTCAAATGATATTTTCGATAATATTTCCAAAGTGCTGAGCATAAGCTTTGTTTCATCAAAGAAACGGAAACGGAGTTTTCTAATGGGTAAAGTTTTTCAGCCAACCCATGTTACCAACTGCTCTCAAATTTTTTTCGGTGTCCTGCTCCTGGCGTTTCCCGGGTCGTGTATCTTTCTTTACTGCGGAGCTTTGCATCTTTACGCTTTGCTTAAATATTTTAATTTTTATTGGTCGGAGTTTGCCAACTGTCTTTGGCCGGCGTTGACTGTACGGCGGGCTTTCCAGCTTTGATAAAGCTGTTAAAAGTGTGTTTATTTTCGGGTGCTTAGAACTGCTGCCGCCTCGCAGATAAACCCGTATATTAATGTGTTCCTCTGTCGATTTCCCCGCCGTTTGATGATCCAGCTGGTGACCGAGGACCGAGGACAGAGGACAGAGGACCCAAGGACCGCACACACAGACCGCAGCGAAAGCCGAACTGCACTCTAATAGCCATAATCATAGGCCATAATGACTGCTCCGGCTCGGCCGAGAACTCGATCTCTCGCAGGCGAAACTTTGTGAATGACATCGAGCCGGGGGTAGCGGGGCAGTGGGGCAGCGGGACAGCGGAGGGGAGTGTGCGTCATTTACATAAAAGTAAAGTTCACCCACTCGGATGGCTGGGAATGCAACCTGGCAAAAGTTTTTGCCGAATTTAAATTATAAATAAGCTCAGGGCGGGTCGAAGGGGATCCGGAGCACTTGCCATCCAAAACAAAACCTCATATGCATCGAAACGTAATGGCAAAAAGGATTTTAAGTGAAGTTGAAGTTGACTACACGACCGCACTGGGGGCGGTTGGGGCGTTCGAGGAGTGCAGGGGCTCCACTCGCTTCCCCCGAGACCACTTACACCACTGCAGTTTCGTGGAAAGTTTGTCGGCACGGGGAGAGTTAGGAGGGGTGGGAGGGGTCCAAAAATAAGCTCAAAGTGAGAACTGAGCGCGGCGCATTCTGCCCCAGCAGACAAAGACCCCACTGTATGTGTATCTTTCATGTGTGTGGTGTATCTTTCGGGTTGTGGCAACCACCAGACAACCACAAGCAACAAGGCACACGGGCTGCGGAAAACGCAGGCTTAAATGTCATGTAAAAGGTTTCCACTTACACAAATTAATGTGTACGATTTCATTTCAACGCAGCTTCGCAGACCCCGATTTGCATTAGTCTCAGCCATTGGCTCCACCTGATCGGCGGAGCTATAAAGGGCTCCATTTCAGTGGCTCTGTCACTCTTTGAGCGCTCGCCAGAATGAAGTTCCTACAGATCGCCCTTACGGTCCTCGCTGTGGCAGTGGCCATGTCCAGTGCCCAGGAAACCCCACCGCCAGATCTAACAGCACCAGCTGCGGGAGGTGGCAAGGACAACACGAATACCAACACAAACAATATTAATATTGGTGGAAAATAAATGCTTTCGTGGCTTTCGTGACCCTTGCACAGGGTATTCTGAATTTAGTCAGAAGCTTGCATCGCACTAAAAGAGACTACTTAATTTCCATTTTTAGTCTTGATCACCATCTTAATCGATCTAGATCTTCTGCCCGTCGGCTGTTTCGATTTAAACTAGCCTCTCAGTTTTAAAGCTATTCCAATGAAACTTTACCAAAAGTTGTGCAGTTGTTGCAACGTGTATATAAGCCAAAGCGCCTAGATCTGCCGAGTATATCGTATAGCTTCCAAAAGAGAGATCGAAAAAATTCTTGTATCATATCGGCATGATTTTTCCAGATTGCGGTTTCTTCTTTTCTCTAAGAATTAAATTGTATACTACAATCGGATCACATATAAACATCGTCCAATAAGTCCCGGGTCCAACTATGAAAACAACATTTTATCGGCAAATGTCTTTATGTCTTTATGATTCATCAACATAATCTCCAATCATTTCAACGCTTCTCCAATTTTGCAATGCCATGTTTGTAGAACGTAGATTTGTCTTTTTGAAATCCGCAAAGAGTCGGTAGTCGCTGGGGGCCAGATCCGTAGAGTACAGAGGATGGGGAAGCAGTTGGAAGACAAATTCGTTGATTTACTTGTGACCCGGTACTCGGTGTTCCATTATCACTTTAATCACTATGGCTTTCTTGGCTACGTTTCTATTACGTAAAATATTGGCATATCTCATCTAAAAGTTGGTACTTCTGACCCTTGATAATATATATGACATTATTAGTGCCACGCGACTTTTTGAATTTAAATCGATATAACATTAATCGAACAAAAATTAAGTCGTTTTCAAGTTTCTTAACTACTAGTCAATAAAGAAACAAATTTCATAAAAAACTGAGTATCATAGTTGCCAGAGGAAAGATAAAAAAAAAGTATAAAATAAATGAAACAAAATTAAGACATCATTGTTTTTAATTATACATTTAAATGCCATAGGACAAGCGGAGTAATGGTAGAAAATTAAAAAAAAAACGTCACAGTTTTGATGTTGTTAGGTGTTCATGCTTTTTGCTTGACATTTAGCCGTTCGCTACGGTAATGAATATTAAAAACTTATTTCTTAAGATCGGACTATTATATCACACATGTTAATGATGCAGTGCATTGCTGACCTTTTAAGGATTGAACTAACAATTAGGAAACCACAGAATAAAATCTTGTTACTATAGATTTCTTATGACTGTAAGGGTTTATAAACTCCGGCTTATCGGAATATAATATATATAACGAATATAAGCAAGAAAGGAAGCTAGCTTTGGCCGTCCGAAGCTTATATACGAACAAAATACATAAAGGCTAAACAACATCGAAGCTATGACGATTTTTCTATTAATTTTTCTTATGATATGGCAGCTATATGATTTAATTTAAAACTCAAAAGACATTAGAAAACTCAGTATTCCAAAAATTAAAAAAAAACAATGATGAAATAATTTTATTTCCGTTATTTATATAGGTACATATATATTTTTCGATCTTTCCCATGGCAGCTATATGATAGAGATATCTGACTTTGATAAAATTTAATCCAAATTTCAATAGTAGTTAGAAAACGCCATCTGGAAGAAATTAAGTCGATCTGATCAAAAACAACGACGTGAGAATTTTTATTTAATTCTCTCGTATGGGAGCTATCCGATATAGTCGGCCGATCAGGCCCGTTCCGACTTATATACTGCGTGCAATAACTACACACCTTTTGGGAAAATTTCAGCAAGATAGCTTTGAAACGGAGAGACAAGTTTACATAGAAACCGACAGGAGAACAGACGGACAGACGTACAGATGTATTTGAATTCAAATCGTGATGCTGATCAAGAATATACATATATACAATACTTTATGGGGTCTGAGGTGTCTCCTTCCCCGCGTCGCAAACTTCTGACTGAAATTATAATACCCTTTGCTCTGCAAGGGTAAAAAAATAGAAGTAACCCGCCTACTATATAATGCCTTGCTTTTAGTTCGAAAATAATTGATGGTAAGAGAGTTTGTTAGTACCTAAAAACATGATTAAAACCTTAGATATGCTGTCGAACGTATAATTTTACCAAAATTGGCTGATACTCTTTAACATAAGTCTCTAACATTAGCTCTCTCTCTTTTATATTTGATACTGGAACCAAAATGTTTGTTCAGTCGTGATGTAGGCAAATCGGGGTAGGGTTGATCAGTTCCCCAGTAATTCGATTGATTCCACTTGGCGGTCAATTAAGTAAAGTAACGAAACATCTGTTTCCGGAATTACCAATAAAGAGCAGCCGAGGCACGGTTTTCATAAAGGGTAACTCTTCTGCCCACTCAACTCTACTTCGCTTTCCGGTCCCAG